GAATCTGCAAAAAATCACAAGCGAAAAATATATAAAAAAAAAAAGTATAATTTTGAAAATTCGATGTGCTTCAATAATACACTCAAACTTATTTTCAACAAAATATTTTTTTTTTTTCTTTCACAAACAGCAACAAGATATTTTCTTTTTTATACTTCATACGATGATCACACGAGAAAATTATTTTCTAGGCTTATTTTTTTTATAAGAAAACAAAAAATTTGATAATAGAACTTAAAAAAGACAAGAATCTAGAGATGAATTTATGAGAATAAAATCTAGAATTACATCTCTTGAATATTTAAAAAAAAAAAAACAAATAAATTTATAGACTTTCTATTACGTTTGTTAAGGCAATTACGCTATTTTCGAAGTAAATTATTAGGCTATATATATATATATAAAAAAAAAACTATTTTTTAAAATAATTTCATCAAAAGTATGAGAAATCTCTCTTATATTCATTCATATTTAAAACATGAAATTAAATATCCTTGAGATAACCTTCGGTAAAAGAACAAAATCTATAGATAGAAAGCGGGGTGATCCAGTTTAAAAAAGACTGGCAAACTGTTCTCTACACTCTGAAGTCAAAAATAAGATTTCCTTTTTAATTCGGAGTGTAATTATTTTACACGAAAAATAGTTGTCATTCGGTCTAAAATGCTATCTTCGTAGATTCTTTACACAACAGGACGTTTTTAGAAACAAAAAAAGCAGGGAGAGAAGTCGTTTCTATGTCCATTACAATGATCCTAATGTAAAGTAGGAATATATAAAAAAAAAAAATAATAAAAGAAAATATTTTATTTCCATCCAATATGGTTTACAGAAAGAGTAAAATCGCTGAACCGTATTCTACAAATCCTAGTAAATCCGAGACCGCGACTTGGTAATGGTGTTTTCCTGTAGCGTGGTACATCATGGGGGATATCTAGAAGGACTTACTGTTCCATTAAGTTTGAATCCCACGGGGTAAAATTCTCTACTTTCCCACTAAGTTTCCGACGATGCCAGAAAGAGAAACGGTACCGTTAATTCGAAAATAATTGATGTAAACGAAGTAGTTTTAAGAGGAAACAACTCTTTTTTTTTTTTTCTTCTCTATAACCATTAATTTTTCCGTAATCGGTAATTAGCAAAACTTTCGTTAATCACACGTAGTCGGGTCAAGGTTATATACAGATATATGTAGCCTCTGGAGAATGAAATCGTATATAAGTTGCAGTCCAATGAGCTAGAAGCTGTCACGTATGGAAAGGGAGGAGACAATAGCTGCTCCGAAAGTAGGTCAGTAGTTTCGATCTCTCAAACCACTGATGGATTGCCAATAACCGCAGGTTTATATTGGCCAACATTCCATCAATTGTACAGATGGAGAAATGGTCTTTAATAAACCAGACTTTAATAAACCAGACTCTTTTAAGAGAATGATATTCAAAAAAAGAAAAAAAACTAGCCGATATTTTCCGAATTTTGGATAAACTTATGCATTAATATACACTAGACATAAATCTGTGTTAAATATAGCCAAAAGATATTCAAAATAGTTACATTTAGTCGCAACATTTGCACGCACTACTGATGCCACAACGGCTCATTCATAGCAGTAATTTGCAATAAATGTCAGAACAAGCACTTCCAGCAATTTAAGACGTTATTATGACCAGCATCACGCACTAATTCAAGCTATACTTGATTGTTTTTATGCTTTCTACACCCATTTTCGAGAATATAAAACGAAAGAAGAAAAATCCATTTTGTTTCTTCTTTTTTTTTTTTCCTTCTTGCAACAGATACAAAACCTTTAATAATATCATGGAAATTGATTTATCTGTACAGAGACTTTAACAATTTTCGATTAACAACGTACCGAAATACAATATCCGCTAGCGAAAAAATGGAAAAAGGGGTGGGAAAACAAAAAAAAAGTGTGTTTAATATTAGGTCTGCTCGCCTCGACAATCGATTATCATCTGCCAAATCATCGCATCTCCATAAAGTTTGGCTTGTGTCAATAAGTAATATTAGGAAGTTACTTTATGAAAATCGCAAAATTGAATTTCGAAATCATAATGTTTAATTTTATAGAATAAGTAATTTTAAAGTATAATAAATGATAATAAATCAAGTACTTTCGTGTGATGGAAAATTGATTTATTGCATTTTTGCCTCGAAATTTTCCTTTTTCCACCTCTCAACCCCCCATGCAATTTACATTACGTACGTAATGGTATTGTTCTCGGCAGATTGCTTTATAGCACGCAAATGAAGAGAATTTTCTTTCTTCTCTACGAGAATTTCGAGTGTGTTTCTACTAACCTATTGAAGTATAAATCTGTGCTTCAAAACACTAATCATTAAATACTTAAATGTCGCTTGTTAACTCGTACTTTAGGTCTTTTCATTTAATTAATGTTTACTTATCTTAACGTGCACATTAATAGAGCCTTTATCAAAATTTTAAGAGTAAAACTATAACAAAATAATAAAAAAAAGTATTGATGTAGTCTTCTAATTTATTTATTTATTATTTTTTAAAATCTAAGAGAGTGAAGAGTAAAAAATCAATGTAACAAGAGGTTCACTTTCGTATAAAAATCTAGCTACACGCAAACAATAGTCACGTTTTACTGGAGTATTGTTTAAATTTTCTTCTTCTTTTCTGTATATAAATCTATGTAGTTATTAGCCAACGAATGGACACGGTAAACTCCGTTCTACCACTTTATATATAGAGATTTCGCGTGGGTTAAAGGTCAAAAACATCAGAAGAGTAGACAAATTTGTTGTTGTAAACCGAAGGGGTGGCGGGAGGCCACCAAAAGAGGCGCCATCTAGGTATAAGATAGAGCATCATGACACTGATATTTAAAAGTCTCGAGAGAATTTTCCACATCTAAGATGCAAATCGATCTTAACTAAGTATGCAAGATAAAGCGATTATCATAATTAGCTTGAAAGCTTTCGAGTTAATGCAATCAATAGAAAAATATAAGCAAACTAAAATGAAGTAGTGTACTCTTACAAAATATCTCTCTCTATATATTAATAGAAATAATATAAGAAGAAATAAAAAAAACTTATCATTCTGACAAGAAATATTATATATATATATATATATATAATGTTTATACGTAAGTGAGAAACATTTTCTTCAGGAAATTAGTGCACCTGGTCCATGTCGATAAGTAGCTCCCAACTTCCGGGATAATATTTGAAGGTTATATCTTTACTTATATATTATATATATCCTTATACGGAATTCGTACAGAGAATATTTTTAAAGTAATGCATTTTGTAATTAACCTGTGAATAATTTATAAAAAAAAAAATTCTGACTCACAGTAATAAATGTTTCAGAAGTAAAAAGCTAAATTCGTATCGCCTCGAGGGATTCACCTGTACTAGAAAATTGTACAGATACCAATATATTCACCCCTTTTTTTTGTGTGTGTGTATGTACACAAAAACTTGATGATAGTAATAATAGAGTTAATGGAATTTTAGTTTTCGTGTGTTATTTACTAGTGAAGATTTTTTTATTACTATTAAATAATAGAAAAAAACTATTGTTACCCTAATTAACTTAAAATGATAAATCGCTATTGTTAAACTGCGAAGGATAAAACTAGTTCATTACGTTAAACCTATTCGAGTAAGGATCTTAACCCCTTTATGGTTGCGAAATTCTCTCCTGGCAGGAAGTTAATGAGAAGTTTACACAAAAGTCCTCAAGGTTAATGGAAAATAGTATCCTGCTCTTGGAAGTAACTGGCCTTAGCCCCAGGTAAAGCTTATATCTCACGTGGCGAAAGTCATTAGCTGCACAAATACGTTCAGATCGTTACAATTGGGTAAGGAGAAGTACAGTACACTCCCGTTGTTCTTTCTTTACGACTCACTCACCCAAAAATACCAAAATTCCGTATAACCTATTCGAGAATAATTCAAACAATGTTGGAAATAAGCCACAAAAGAAAAACGACTTACCTGGCTTAAATACGTAAAACCATACTTCCTGGCTAACTCTTTAGCAACTTCTTCACCTCCGTTAACTCGTACGACGAACTGATCGGTGTAAATAACACTTAAAGCAATTGTTAATGTAGATAGACTAAGAAGTAAACGAAGAATAAAAAACCGAAAGTCCGTGTAACACATAGTAGCTGTCACTTGTCTCTGACACTGTTACAACCATGGGCCAGCTTTACAACTAGAGCTGGCCAGACGTACGCTCCCACAATCCACACTGTCTTTAATCATTTGAAAATTCGTCATATATTCCTAGAACATCCCACTCTAACATCCATTCAGTTACACGTATCCAAGTCGCTCTGTCTGCGACGACTCTCGTAGCCACGCCACTCTATTACGAAACAAAACACAACCTGTTCATAAAACCGCTGTTTCGTATTCGCTTTCCACAATGGTTTCGACCAATGGCGCGGTTTTCGATTTCTTACATCCTCACACATTAATTTCATTCCTCGTCCAATAAATTTTTCTCTTTCATTCGTGTATAGTAATTTATACTTTATTTAAATTACTCTTCACCCCTTTCCTTACTGTAAATATCTATTTTTGTATATAAAGTTTGAATTTTTTTTTTCTTTCCACTCTTTTAAATGACTTTTAAGGGGAGGGGGAGGAAGTTTTTTAAATGCCTTTCGCGTGTCGTGAGAAAGGTTTTTTTTTTTAAACGATTTCTAACGCTCGAAATCTGATTGCATTCTGTGCAAATTTCCCTTATCTGGGTGCTACTTATAGTAGACGAGTAGAACCCTTGTTGCAAAATGTACCTTTATTTACATCATGGCTACCGTGTACAAAGAATATCAATGAGAAGAGGAAACGAAGAATACATTACGGACGCTCCCATTTGTACTTTTAAGGGATGACGGGGATTATAGAGGAGGGAGGGGAGATCGTCGGCAGCTATCATGGACGAAGATTAGTTTCAACTAATTGTATTGATGGCAAACCGAATCTGCATAGAAAATTACGATTTTCTTAATTAACTCTTATATAAAATTACACATCTTCCGAATAAAAAAAAAAAAAAAAAAAGAAGGGGGGAAGGAGAGAAATTTGTTCAATTTATGAATAACTTTAATCGGATTTTAAATGAATAAAATTAAGAATATTGTGGTAATTAAAATGAAAAAAAATCGTTATTAAAATGTCATTTTAGATTGACATTTTATTTTTTTTTCCTCCCCTCCTCTATTCTTTTATCCGATAAATTTGCATAGATATTAATTATCCCCTTTGATCTTTTTGGATCGTATAAAAGCAATTAAAATATTAAATGATTAAGTTATTTAAAGTCTTAAATTCATTATTTATCTCTTAAATAACTGTCGAAATTTTTAATTCCATTTATTTTTCGTTTGTTAAGTCACTACGAATTGAAGAAACCTTCAAAAAAAAATAAGTTACAATATGCAATATATATTAGGCTTATATTGCATATGCAATAATGTGCATTCGTACAAATACATGCCATATTTTACATATTATATTATTATAATCGTATGCATTAATAAGAGTAAATATAATTAAATAATATGCAGTAAACTGGAATTTTAACACCTCGTATTTACTCTAATATGCAATGTATTAACATATAATTTAACTAACTTAATATTTCATTTAGAAAACGAATAAGGAAGAGAAATTGTCGAATATCTTCCATGCAATCCAATTAAAATTACAAGTTGACATTTGATAATTAGTTTTTCTATAGTTTTGCCTTAGTTTTAACGATATTTTTAGATATTTTATTCGTGTTTTTTTCTTAAGAAATTATGATTAAAAAGACATCAAAACATCGAGAGAAAGTAAGAATAAATTTAGAGATTCGTATAGATTTATTTATTACAGTTATTACTCGAAATTGATAAAAGAAATAAAGGAAAAAAAACACCCCGAAAGAAAGGAGTAAATAAACAAAGAAAACAGATGCTTACAAAGAACTAAATAGAAAAGTTAGAAGTCATCTAGAAAAAGATCGAGAGCTATAATAGTAAATGAATATAATGAAAAAGTCCTGGAAAGAATTTTTTATTTGTGGTGTGAATTTAGACTGAAGTGTTTCCATGTTCGAAAGCAATTTATTGAATTGTTCGAAATGCTCGATGACTCGTTTGATCTCTTTTAAAAATAAAAGATAGCAATAAAAAATGATTTGCAAAGGAAATATATATATCAAAAGATATTCAATGTGTTTAGTATGAAGAATAAATAAGCCATAAATAATTTACAGTGTACATATTTGACTAAACTAAACTAAACTAAATACATATTTAATTGAAATCTTTTCCTGTATTCTAAAGGAGAGATAATAAATACACAGTTGACCCCCCTATAACACTGTTGATAATTCCGTTTTATATAAATTCCATGTTGTACGAGTCACTTAGATTTTACAAATACGTGAGCCGTTCACAGCCCGGCACACGTATTTGTAANAATTTGAATTGATGTGTGGTGTGAGTTAAAAATCGAATCATTCGTATAAAGAAACAATTATCTTTACTTTTTCGATCAATAAGATTATGCCATCAAACAATTATCTTCTTTCTCTATATAATTTATAAAAGAGAAGAAGAAATTAAATTTAAAAAAAAATAAAAAAAAAAGCCAATAAAAATTCATTTAAATATGGCAAAATATGCGAAATTAATATAAGTTAATCACTTTTGAATATTATTCAAAGTTGAATTTTTGTATAAATTTATAGAAATATCTAATATTTATTAATTATATAATATGAGATTTTTATATTCTTCTTCTTCTTCTTCTTCTTTTTTTTTTTTTAAGATAAAGAATTGTACATAAACACACTTAAAAACTGGTTTGATGATGTGTTTACTTGATAAAGAATATCTCTTGCATGCAATATAATCCTACCATTAGCGAAAGGATTTGTAAAGTACATCGAGTTCTTCATTGATACACATATCAAGCCAGAAGCTACAACAACTGATTCTCATAGTTTTGTTATTTCGGTCGACTGTATTACAATTAATATAAAAGTTAAAATACATTTTTTTATTATTACACTTATAAGAAAAAAAAATATTAGATTCATAGATTAACCATTGAAAAAAAAATTATGTGTATAAAATTACTTTTTATTGCATCCATTGATTAATACTTACAATATTGATCAATGGAACAATATAGTAAACTAACAGTGATCAATGATTCAATGTTACTGTATCAAGGTTTTTTTAAACTTGGAGATGATTAGGTTTTTTTAATATGAAACCTTCTATCTTNATAAAATTACTTTTTATTGCATCCATTGATTAATACTTACAATATTGATCAATGGAACAATATAGTAAACTAACAGTGATCAATGATTCAATGTTACTGTATCAAGGTTTTTTTAAACTTGGAGATGATTAGGTTTTTTTAATATGAAACCTTCTATCTTTAAAATAGCGATAGAAAAAAAAACATTTTTTTTTTGATTGTTATATTGCATGTTTTAAAAAGAAATTACAGGTATGTAAATTTTAGATAGTGATATATACCTGTTATCTATCATATGTCTGACATGTTTTCTTAATATTTTATGACATATTATCTTGATTTTTATAGCTATTTTCACGTTATCATCTCTTTTTTTAAATGGAACGTATAGGCTGTCTCTATCGAGTTTTCCAATGACTCATTCGGAAAAGTACAAATAACGATACAATTTACGATTCTAACACAAAAGAAAGAGTAAAAAGTAATAGTTGTTTTTTCGAAATTTAAAGAATTCTTAACAGATCTGAGTGAATGCAGTTAGATGCAATGCCAATTTCCACTTGGCCGAGTCTGTCGTGGTGCGTTAGATCTAAGAGTTAGAAGTGTCGAACGGGAATCGATCCTGAACTCTCCTTGATGGTAAAGTTGAGAAATTTTTGGGGTTAAATGTACTCAAACATTAAAGCAAATATTAAAAAATAAAATTCTTACATTTGATTTTATATCAGTTTGGCATTAAAATCCCTCTCAACTTTAATGAGATCAAGTTGAAAAACTTAATTTCTAATTGAAGAAGAAATATCCCAAGATTTAAAATATGAAATTTTCAATATATAAACATTGTAGTTTCTTATTATATCGATAAAAATATTGGTTTTTTTCCTTTATCGGTTTCTAACAAATGGACGTTTATCGATTACATAAACGAATCTGCAAGCATTTTACAATATTTAAAACGTGATTGAAAAATCATAAAATTTACACTTTATTATGTTTATATATATATATATTTAAAGAAAATTTTATTCGAATGCTATTAAAACTTTCATAAACTTCAAAATATTCGAGTCAATAGTTTTCTTTTTAAGAATTCACTGCTCACTAAGGTCATCAAGTTCAGTAACCATCCATCATCCTTCTGATATTCATCATCGTGTGAAGCTAGCCAGTTGATAAGGTTTATTCTAGTTTTCGTTGACATGTTATTGCCTTTATCTCATAATATACAGTATATATAACCTATATATCAGCAACGCTTACAAATAACGTTTCTTTTCCGTTCAAGCATTTCAAATATGACACGAAAATTCATTAATTATTCTAATTAAGACGTTTTATCACACTCATTAATTTAAATATTAATTCGAGAACATTTTTTTTTCTATAATTTAATATATAAATAATTAAAGTGCCGCTGTTAAGAAATAAAAATAAAAATAGTTTTAAAAGTCGTAAAATCAGTGAAAATTTTTCTATTTTTTTTTAAAGAAAGAAAAAGAAAGGAAAACTTGTTTATGCAATGGTCAATTGTTTTATATTTCCTTCTACGTTTACAGCTTTGATTTTTTTATGTATTTTTATTACTTTTTTTTCTAGTGTGAAACACAGTCAATGAACTCATTCACTTTTTATACGTAAAAGGAAGAGATGCTATTGAATCTAAATTATTAAATACTAAAAAAAAGTATTAAAAAAAAACAACGTTGAAAATTTTATAAAGTAAAATACATAAAACTAAAAATATTTATTGAAGGATATTTTATTGAAAAAGAGACTTGGAAATGGTCGAATAAATGCCCAAAGGAAGGATCGTGTACTTAATGGATCAAGGAATGCAATACTCATTTGGGAAAAAGAGCTATTTTCTTAATAGTACAAAAGAATCTACGATATATCGATTTTCACAAATTTACCAGAAAAGTTTTGCTCATTAGTTCGATGTTGAAATTTTAATTAAGTTTCAATTTGAATTGATGTGTGGTGTGAGTTAAAAATCGAATCATTCGTATAAAGAAACAATTATCTTTACTTTTTCGATCAATAAGATTATGCCATCAAACAATTATCTTCTTTCTCTATATAATTTATAAAAGAGAAGAAGAAATTAAATTTAAAAAAAAATAAAAAAAAAAGCCAATAAAAATTCATTTAAATATGGCAAAATATGCGAAATTAATATAAGTTAATCACTTTTGAATATTATTCAAAGTTGAATTTTTGTATAAATTTATAGAAATATCTAATATTTATTAATTATATAATATGAGATTTTTATATTCTTCTTCTTCTTCTTCTTCTTTTTTTTTTTTTAAGATAAAGAATTGTACATAAACACACTTAAAAACTGGTTTGATGATGTGTTTACTTGATAAAGAATATCTCTTGCATGCAATATAATCCTACCATTAGCGAAAGGATTTGTAAAGTACATCGAGTTCTTCATTGATACACATATCAAGCCAGAAGCTACAACAACTGATTCTCATAGTTTTGTTATTTCTAAATTATTAATTCTTTCCTCAAGGCTGAAGTATGTTATACTCTTTTCAAAAGGATAAAAATTTAATCGTGTTATTTTTCTTCTTATTCGTTTTCATTTTATAAAGAAAAATAATTGATTAATGTAATGTAATATACATATATATATAAATATACTTTTATCAAGAATTTATGAACTAGAAATTTTGATTTAGATATTATTCATTTGTGAATATCTTTAATTTATATTTAGTCCTTGAAATTCTATTGTTTGAAAGAGGAAACAATTTCTATTGTTTCGATTGCGTGATACGTAAACAAAAATTTTTAAAATAATTTTGTTTAAAAGAAAATGTTAAAAAAAATTAACAATAATTTAATTTTATTTTAACTGAAAAAGAATAAATATATTTAATTAAATTTGAAAAATTTATATTAATTCTTTTTCCTCTTTTTAAATGTACTTATTGGAATGTAAATTTATAATTTATAATTCGATATAAAAAGAAAATTAATATAAAAAAAANGAGATAAACGTAACTAGCGTATCGTAGTTACTCCCTTCATTCTTTAAATAATTGATGCCGAGGTTATTTTCTTCGCTATAAAGCTATAAAGGTAAAAGTTTATCTATACAAATTTACTGTTTAAAGTTATCTGTGAAGTTATTCGATAACGTTCTTAAAAAAAAAAAATAAATAAATAACTTCGCCCATCCGGATTTTATCTTTGCAGTGTTTATTCTATAATAATAATAGTCTAATAATAAAAAGAAGGCTTTTTTTTTATTACTAAAGAGTGTATATATTGTTGAAGCACGCCTGGAAACCATTTATTTATTTTTTTAAAAGTACAGTACTATACTACCAGATGTGTATGATACAATGTAATTAATTAATATTTTTATTTAAATTCACATAAGATTAATAAACCGTAATAAAAAGGTCAATCGTCTTACCCGAATGATGTAAAATATTACTTTAAATTTGACATCATTCTTATAGTTTTGTTATGAGAAAGTGTGATAAGTTAATAAAGATAAAAAATTCACAATTTAAGAAATAAATAACAATTCGAAGAAATATCTAAAAATTTTGAAAATATATATAAAAAGTCACTTATTATATTACTCATTTATAAAGACTGTCAAAATCGGTAATGTTCTTCTGTCAAATCAATATCTTTCATGCTACGTCACACACTAAAACAATATTTAAAGGCAGATTTTTTTATATTTCGCATTATTTATTACTAAAAAGTATTGAATTGAACAAGTGAAAAACTTTTCACTTTCGATTAGAACATGAAAAAAAAGTCTTCAATTCCTCAAAATAATATTTAAAGTGAAATCTCAATGAAGAAAATTCTTCTACTCTGACACTACTTATATATCTATAGCCTTCATAACGATTATATCGCCATCTGTTGACAACAAATTTATTGAATTTTATTAAAAAAATTATAATAAATCCGGAAATGCTCGTTTCTGGTTATAATTTTATAATATAAATATTATTCAATTTAAAATTCATTTTATTACTTAAACAATCGGTATTAATATCAAATATAAAGAAATTATTATAATATAATTTTAAAAAATAATAATAGTAATTATTATTAGTAGTAAATTACGTAAACGTTTTATAATATAAAATAGAAATTATTATTTTAAAATTTAATAATTCTTAAAAAAAAAAAAAGAAAAGAAAAAAAAATATTAGCAGAGCGTGGTTTCGATCCACGGACCTCTGGGTTATGGGCCCAGCACGCTTCCACTGCGCCACTCTGCTTCGGTCTTAAACTTTACGTTTTACCTTATAAGTATATGTTACGTCTCTCCTTGTATGTACACGTGACTTAAAGTGAGTTGAGAGTCGTAAGCTTAACCTTGGAGTTTTCAAAGCCTATTAACCATTTGCACAAAAGTTACGTCGTTTAATGTTTTAAATATTTGATTTAGAAAAAGAATAAGAGTAATTTATAATAAATTTTCTGGTTATTGGGCCGAAAGTGACTCAAACTTCTTAGGAAATTATGCTTACGAATTGCTTATGACGTTAACATGAATGACGTTTTCACTCCTCTTCATTATGACGTTATTACTCATTTAAGAAGTTTATCTGAGTAATAGGTCGATAATTTTAGCAATTTTATAACAAGACGGTAATTACACCCCCCCGTTTTATTGCCCAATTGATTCCTGGACAAACGTTTCTTATAATATTTAGTGTCATACACGGTTCCTAAATATATATTTTGAATTATATAATACTATCTTTAGTAGACAACAAGAAAATATAGTATAATCACATAGAAAACTACGTACTGTATCCGTAATAAACCGTAATCTACTGTGAGTAATTACTAAACACTTGATTTAACAGTAAAATGAGTGAAGAAGAAATTAAATGTAGACTCACTGTACCGAATAATATGCAATATTGTATCAATTTGACGTCATTCTTACAGTTTTCTTACGAGAAAATGCGATAATGACGTCAATTTGATGTAAAAAAAATGTATATTATTTAGACACCAAGAGGGGTTATTAAGGAGCCCTTAAAAGTATTGCGTGACTTTCTATTAATGTTATTCCAAGGATCATCTACCGATTTTCTCTTCCAAATATAAGGTCACTTTCCGTGTTTATTTTAAAATAAACTATATAATGTAAATATATACTTGTATATTTAAATTAAATAAATCAACTCTGACAAGGACATGATTCTAAAACACGAGAGGACTTCATCTTCCTGTATTAGTCGAGAATAACAGTAAAGCTTATAATGTTATTAATTCTTAAAAGAAAGTTCTCGTGCATTATTCATGGTTGGTCACATTTGTATGTCAAGGTGATTACAAATAAGATATGAGAAATTTGGGCTGTAGCCTCGAGAGTTTTATATTACAGGGTGTAGTCTTTATTTTATTTTATTTTTTTTATTACAGAGTAGAAATTGTTGATACATCTGAGATGACCTTTCCTTATAGAAATTCACTCTATTTTGCCTTCGACTGCTAGAATTCACGTTGAGATAAACGTAACTAGCGTATCGTAGTTACTCCCTTCATTCTTTAAATAATTGATGCCGAGGTTATTTTCTTCGCTATAAAGCTATAAAGGTAAAAGTTTATCTATACAAATTTACTGTTTAAAGTTATCTGTGAAGTTATTCGATAACGTTCTTAAAAAAAAAAAAATAAATAAATAACTTCGCCCATCCGGATTTTATCTTTGCAGTGTTTATTCTATAATAATAATAGTCTAATAATAAAAAGAAGGCTTTTTTTTTATTACTAAAGAGTGTATATATTGTTGAAGCACGCCTGGAAACCATTTATTTATTTTTTTAAAAGTACAGTACTATACTACCAGATGTGTATGATACAATGTAATTAATTAATATTTTTATTTAAATTCACATAAGATTAATAAACCGTAATAAAAAGGTCAATCGTCTTACCCGAATGATGTAAAATATTACTTTAAATTTGACATCATTCTTATAGTTTTGTTATGAGAAAGTGTGATAAGTTAATAAAGATAAAAAATTCACAATTTAAGAAATAAATAACAATTCGAAGAAATATCTAAAAATTTTGAAAATATATATAAAAAGTCACTTATTATATTACTCATTTATAAAGACTGTCAAAATCGGTAATGTTCTTCTGTCAAATCAATATCTTTCATGCTACGTCACACACTAAAACAATATTTAAAGGCAGATTTTTTTATATTTCGCATTATTTATTACTAAAAAGTATTGAATTGAACAAGTGAAAAACTTTTCACTTTCGATTAGAACATGAAAAAAAAGTCTTCAATTCCTCAAAATAATATTTAAAGTGAAATCTCAATGAAGAAAATTCTTCTACTCTGACGTGTACATAATTTATATAATAACCAGTACTACAATTTTCACAATAAATAACTAGGTAATAACTAATATAAGTTGTTGATATTGTTATAAATAAACAATAACTAAAGTAAAATCGTTCTATATAAGCAAACATATATATAAAAGAAACCATTATTTACACAAAAAATAACATATTTGATTGTCAGTAGGATCCGAACCCACGTTTAAAGTACCGATTCCGATGAGTACAGTAGAGTCTTGATAGTTCCAAGCCCTTATCACCCTTAAGCCAAAGTACAAGTACCCAAAATTACATAATTGGGTAATTTCAAATCAAGTGTGTGATGAAACACCATACAATTGTATAAGCACACCCGAAAGGTTTAAGATCAGTTTTTAATTTATTAAATTTGTGAAACGATATGGTTGCCAGATATGCCCAGTTATTATACAGGACACCCTGTATTTTAAGTACAATATACTATTATTATTATTATCATTTATTTTATTGAAAAAGAGACTTGGAAATGGTCGAATAAATGCCCAAAGGAAGGATCGTGTACTTAATGGATCAAGGAATGCAATACTCATTTGGGAAAAAGAGCTATTTTCTTAATAGTACAAAAGAATCTACGATATATCGATTTTCACAAATTTACCAGAAAAGTTTTGCTCATTAGTTCGATGTTGAAATTTTAATTAAGTTTCAATTTGAATTGATGTGTGGTGTGAGTTAAAAATCGAATCATTCGTATAAAGAAACAATTATCTTTACTTTTTCGATCAATAAGATTATGCCATCAAACAATTATCTTCTTTCTCTATATAATTTATAAAAGAGAAGAAGAAATTAAATTTAAAAAAAAATAAAAAAAAAAGCCAATAAAAANAAAAAAAAGGAAGGAAAAAAAAATATTAGCAGAGCGTGGTTTCGATCCACGGACCTCTGGGTTATGGGCCCAGCACGCTTCCACTGCGCCACTCTGCTTCGGTCTTAAACTTTACGTTTTACCTTATAAGTATATGTTACGTCTCTCCTTGTATGTACACGTGACTTAAAGTGAGTTGAGAGTCGTAAGCTTAACCTTGGAGTTTTCAAAGCCTATTAACCATTTGCACAAAAGTTACGTCGTTTAATGTTTTAAATATTTGATTTAGAAAAAGAATAAGAGTAATTTATAATAAATTTTCTGGTTATTGGGCCGAAAGTGACTCAAACTTCTTAGGAAATTATGCTTACGAATTGCTTATGACGTTAACATGAATGACGTTTTCACTCCTCTTCATTATGACGTTATTACTCATTTAAGAAGTTTATCTGAGTAATAGGTCGATAATTTTAGCAATTTTATAACAAGACGGTAATTACACCCCCCCGTTTTATTGCCCAATTGATTCCTGGACAAACGTTTCTTATAATATTTAGTGTCATACACGGTTCCTAAATATATATTTTGAATTATATAATACTATCTTTAGTAGACAACAAGAAAATATAGTATAATCACATAGAAAACTACGTACTGTATCCGTAATAAACCGTAATCTACTGTGAGTAATTACTAAACACTTGATTTAACAGTAAAATGAGTGAAGAAGAAATTAAATGTAGACTCACTGTACCGAATAATATGCAATATTGTATCAATTTGACGTCATTCTTACAGTTTTCTTACGAGAAAATGCGATAATGACGTCAATTTGATGTAAAAAAAATGTATATTATTTAGACACCAAGAGGGGTTATTAAGGAGCCCTTAAAAGTATTGCGTGACTTTCTATTAATGTTATTCCAAGGATCATCTACCGATTTTCTCTTCCAAATATAAGGTCACTTTCCGTGTTTATTTTAAAATAAACTATATAATGTAAATATATACTTGTATATTTAAATTAAATAAATCAACTCTGACAAGGACATGATTCTAAAACACGAGAGGACTTCATCTTCCTGTATTAGTCGAGAATAACAGTAAAGCTTATAATGTTATTAATTCTTAAAAGATGGCGCCAGTTTCATATTAAAAGATTAAAAGACGTAGACATTTATACATTAAAAAACAATTAAAAATACGATATAATTGTTATTAATATTTTCTTGGAAATGTATTTCAACCAAGAATGAATTTTAGTATTAGAAAAATCACAAATTTTTTTCCGAAAGGTGTTAGATAGATGACCTAAACGACTCTATTGTTAAAGGAAAAGTATGATGTACAGGGGCAAGACACTGCTAATTTAAGGTGGAAAGCGTATATTTTAAAATTAAATAAATTACGGTTAAAAATTGCAGCCCAGCATTGTGATGTACAGTACAAGTACACCTCCCTATAACACTGTACATAATTCCGTGTTATATGAATTCCATGTTGTACGAGTCACTTAGATTTTACAAATACGTTGTACCGGGCTGTGAACGGCTCACGTATTTGTAAAATCTGTGACTCGTACAACATGGAATTCATATAACACGGAATTATCTATAGTGTTATAGGGGGGTCTACTATATCTAACTTTGTTCTCATAAAAGCATTGTTTGTAAGAACAAAAAGTAAAAAAAACAATATAAAATAAATAAGTAAAAGACTAACCTATATATTCGAATGAGTTATATAACGAGGAACTATTTTATTTAAAACAGAACAACGGAAAATATATATATATATATACAGTCGAGCCCCCTATAACACTGTTGATTATTCCGTTTTATATAAATTCCATGTTGTACGAGTCACTTAGATTTTACAAATACGTGTGCCGGGCTGTGAACGGCTGACGTATTTGTAAAATCTAAGTGACTCGTACAACATGGAATTTATATAAAACGGAATAATCAATAGTGTTATAGGGGGGTCGACTTGTATATATATTTTTATTGTATTAACGATTCACAAATTATAATAATGGACTATTATATATATATTACACATAACTCAAGATTTAATATAATATAAAGTTATACATTGAAACAAACCAATTAAAAATAGCAGAATGTAAGATTTTATTTTAGTAAGAAAAAAATATATACTAAACACACGATAATTCATTATTAAATCAATAAATGACACAACTACAATATTTTAAAATAAAATAAGAAGAAACAAGGATGTATATTTTATAAATGTATTATTAAGATTGATGTAGATTTTTACATTCACAAAAATTCAATTGTATAATCATTACTCCATTAAGAACTATTATCTTCATTGAAATATATTAATTTATGATTTTTGAAATGATATAAATGTGGGATATCCTAATTCCAAAGTTTTTACTTACACAAAGTTTATATATCATGGACGTAAGATGTTCTTTCGCTACTATAATTTTATATTATTTCTACATTTTCATCTTTCTATACACGTACACAGGTAAGTAGGGATGAAATTTTTTAAATTTATTTATTAATACAAAAATTTAATTCTGCGAAATTTTTCGGTTTTTTTTTTTTTTTTTAGATTCATCGGACGTTCAACATAAATCTATGATACAAAAACTTCGTAAAGATTTACTAAAAAATTACGATAAAATCGCTCGTCCCGTATTAGATGATTCGAATGCTACTACATTATATTTTGGTTTAATACCCATTTATCTATCAGAAATAGTAAGATGTATTTTAATTCTTTTGTTTGTTTGATATTAATATAGTTATAGTTTATAATAATGCCATAGATAGTAAATTTTTAAATTATTTTATAAATTTTCTGATAACTGATTTATTTATTACTTCATTAACCATACAGACAGTAGGTTGAAATTATATAGGGTCTTCCAAAAACAAGAATTCTACCATTTTAAATTATTGTAATTATATTAATTATTATTGCAAAATGTAAAATACAAAAAACACTTGTTTTATTGCAGAGTCGCCATTTTTGTTTATGGCATTTCTTTGAGGCAATAGATTTGAATTGTAGCACGTTTGAATGTAGATGGAAAATGAAACTATCGATTGGTGTACATTACATTATATATTTCTCAGTTAATAAATAACATAATCACAGTAATTTTGAATGGTTGTAACTTGTATTTTGTATCATATCAAGTGAGCAATATACGTTTTTTTTTAATAGAATGAAGAGAAGAATTATATGAAATTAGAAGCTTGGTTACAATTAGTAAGTAACTATTTGTATTTTTTATATTTATTTTAAATTTCATAAATTAAGAGAAATGTTTTCGTTTGTTCACAAAATTTAGAAAATAAAAGAAAAAATAATATCGTATAAATATAACATACGCGAAAATAATTGTTCTTTATTAAACAAATACTCCATAGTTTACGTTTTAAATCTAATAGACAGGAGAGAGGAAGATCAGATATAAATCAAAATGTCTTGGAATTTATTTTTTAACTTTTCTGCCCTCTGGGTATACTAACGTAAGAGAAGTAAGAGAGATAAGAGAAATGAGTAAGAGAAGAGTATCTCTTCTCTTACTCATGAGTTCGGAAAGGCCAAACAATGGGGACGACCAATGGTGCTTGACATAGTCTATGAGGGAAAAACCGCACACGAAAATTTCCTGGGATTTCGGATACTTTGAGAGTGTGAAAATTATATTACATAAATCAGTTTCACTAGATACAATGGTTCAGAGTCTGTTAAATATGTCGACTTTCTCTGTATTTACAACACCTACAAGATGCAATGTTTCTATTGTAGAACGAGTATAACTCAGACTTTATCTGACTTCTATATGCGATACTGTATGATGTAACCAATTTATGTCATTTAATAGAAAATCACTTTTTAAATTAAAACCGTTTTTGAAAAAATTATAAATCCACCAGGGACATTAAGATGGGAAAAATAGATTAACTTTATTATGGATACGATGGTTTAATAGTTAAGGAAGAATTATATTCATTATTTGATCACGTATGATGAAATAATATCTCGAAAGTGAGAACATTTATTGAATATAGTAGCCAGTCAGTTTTTCCGACATAAAGTGAACAGGATATTTGTGAGATAGTCTATTCTAAGACTCGTATCACGCCTCATGATTCTGTTAAGTCCTCTGTGAGGGGACTAGTAGGCTCTAAACTGAAATGGAATTCTGATTTGAGGTCAGATATCAGTGAAGAAATTAAAATTTTTACATGTTTTCAAAATTAAAATCATTTCTTCTTTTTAATTTTTTTTTTCCTAGGCGTGGACCGATCAGCATCTTGTGTGGCAACCGGAAAATTATTCGGGAATTGAATTAATTCATTTTGAATCGAGCGAAATATGGGTACCAGATATATCAATTTATTCCAGGTAAATTATACTGATTATATGCTAATTATTATACAAATTTATGCTTATAATTTAAAATTATTGTAGAATTTCTTTGTAATTATTTCAATCAAAAATTCTTCCATATAAAAAACAATTTGCATATGTTTTGAGAGAAAGGCAATATACTTTTCTCAAAAGATTCGATAATATCTTTATTGGATTTTACTGTTCTTGTTTGGTTTTATTGGTATAGGGCAACGTGGACAATCTGTCGAGGGAGGAATGCCTCGGGAAGTCTTTTATGGGAAAATGGACCCTATTTAGAGAGTGAGTGATCGTAGATATCTTGGAAAGGGAAAGAATTCTCTGGTACATTTTTGTACCAGAAAATTGTTTCCCAAAAATATTGGGGATATGTGTCCTCTATCCCTTATGGATTGAGACATGGCTAACCTCTTTTAAAGATAGAGACATTAGTTATTGACCTACAAATATCACTCATCAATGATTGATTAAATTCATATATTTCAATTAAGTAGAGAATTGATATTGGTTCTCGTTCAATGGTATAAAACATTACTTGAAATACTAGAATAAATTTTCTTTTAGAAATTTCTAAATATAACAAATAAAAATTCGATTTTAATACAATTTAAATACAATAACTCAAACTTTCGTGTCAGAAATGATAAGTTTTGTTTAACAAATATAAAATAGCGATGCAAGTGTTTCTTCTCTGATATCATGAGTGTTCCATTTTATTCATAAACTGACTTGCCTTTCAAATAATATTATTCTAGAATCTCGTAAATACTTTAATGCAATATTCTATTACAATATTTACGTTTCGTGTTAAAAACATTTACAATAACGATTAACAGTAGGATATGTATTGAAATGTAATCCTAAGTTTTTCTAGGACGTCTCCTGAGTTTCACTAACCCAAATATATTTGACGTGATCGTACGTATATTGCATTTAAAGTTCTTGATAAATGCTAAATGTTATCATCCTTTGTAAACGAGTTGTTTTGTTTATTATTCCTCCTGTCTGCCAATACCTTACTTGGTATCTTTTCTTTCTCATTCCTTCTCTCTTCCTTACTTCAGACCCCTAACAATAACAACTGCATTTAAAATTATACAAATTATTCTTTAAGGAAATGACTAATGATAACTATGGCCTCTCTAATTTAATTTTACTATTACTAATTCATTATAAATTCTATATTTGATAGGATCTGGATCAGCCAAGATCTTTGCTTCCAGACTTGTATAATAATGAATAAGACAAAAGTTTATTTATTAAATTTTTATCTATTTATTTTTATATTAAACATTTAAAGTATGAAATAATATAATATAATAAACAGAATATTTTTATATTAATTAATTTTATTATATAAATATTTATAGTATGCCCGTGACCGAAATTATGCCGAATGTCGAGACAAAAGTTCTTTCTTTTAATGGAGGAACAATTATGTGGGTACCAACTATAACAATATATTCCTATTGCGAAATTAAATATAAAAATTATCCCAACGATATTCAAGAATGTAACATTACTTTTGGTTCGTGGACTCATCACGGATGGGCCTTAGAAATGGAACTTGCATCAAAGACAATTAAATTAAGTGATTTTCATAATACTAATCCACTTTGGATGTTAATAGACACGTCTGTAGAGAAGGAAATTAAAAAATATTCTTGTTGTCCCGAACCTTATCCCAGCATTATAACAACTTTTAAATTCAAAAGAACACATTTTTCAGATTACGGTTCGATAATTTGGTGTCCTTCTTTAATTGCTATAATATTTACTTTAATTATGTTTTGGATATCTTTTAATTTACTTTATAAACTCATTTTGGGATGCACATCAGTAATCATTCTAACCGTATTGCTCCTGTATCTTAATGAGTTTCGTTCTTCCCCCGTTGCAACTGTTCTATCAGGTTAGTAGCTTTTTATTTATTCGAATATTTGTTAATTAAATGAAAGATTTAATAAACGATTAAACGTATTTTCAGCTCAAACAATTCATTCAACCATATTTATCGTGGCTTCTGCAATGCTGATGGAGTTCTTCATCATTAGTTTGAGGTACATTTCTGGAAGCTTTCGACCACCTTCTGCAGTTATATATTGTCTGTCGGGTATCGTTGGGAAAATCATGTTGATTAAAATTCCCAGAAAATGTTTCGGAATTATTCATAAAACAGAAGAGAATAGAGAATTTATGTCCGAGAATTACAGTGAAGAATGGCTTCTCGTTTCTATTGCGTTAGAAAGAATTTGTTTTTTAATTTATCTTTTAGTTTTTATTGTGCATAAAAGTATATGAATAGTACACATCGTACAACAATTAAAATATTGTAAAGTAATATATATATATACAGTAAAACCTGTCAAAAACGGAACCTTACGTGTTATAAACATTCGATAAATAATGTTCTAGCATGTTACACTTTTAATTAAACAACTCGAAGCTTGTGTCTATTGCTTTGTATATATTGTTTTTCGTTTAAATGGCTTTACAATATGCATAATAATTTGTAAAACGACGTCAGAAAAGTAAACATAAATTACAGCTTTTTTTTTTACAAGGTATCACGAACGTGTTTCAAACGATAGAAATTCTATACAGCATCTTTTATAGGATAACACTGTAGATTTAATCAATAATACTGTACTATTAATAATTGAGTTTTTATATACAAGCAATAAATATTTAATGCTGTAAATTCTTTATGTATAATATAGAATTTACTTTTTTATCGTGCAAATCGTCCACAACCTAACCTACCCAAATTGGAAAGATCCCTGAATAGACATTTAAGTGAACACCATGTACGAATAAATAAAATTTAAAAAATGAGTGAAGAAGTTAAGAGCGTTATTATATTGCTGTTTTATTACTAAACAATATAATAAATGAAATAATATATTTATTAAATTAATAATTTCTGTGAAAAAGAATCATCTGTCTCTAGTTGGAATTTGAAAAAGGATGAAGATTTAAATCAACCCAAAAATTATTTATTTGGTCATTATTATTTAAATATACAAAATTATTTTGTTTCTATCTGTGTTAGAAACGTTCGTTCACAAATTATTATTATTATTATTATTTTGTTTCTTTTATAACGAATAATTTGAGTTGATTACCAAGTACAGAAACATGGTAAAATTTCACTATACAGTAAACACCCCGCAACTCGTACTTCGCATAACTCCGACAGAATGTTTCTAAAAATTGTAGAGTAATTTAATATTTCTTGACAATAAAGAAGTATTATTAACGAGTGTTTTCGTTATCTGGAAGTCTTTGCGATACCGTGCATTAGTCTACATTATTGTAGTCGGTATGTTACTAAAGACTTTACTATTATGAAATGTTTTGAACTCATTCCCTGTAATAATAAATTCAGCGGTATAATCTCAATAAAACCTCTGTATATAGCCAATTATTTCTCGTTAACACCTCATTTTCCACGTCGCCGAACGTAGTCTACGAAGAACAATGTAGCTGCAGAAAGCGGCTATATTGTTCTTCGTAGGATACTGAAATTCGTGCTGCTTTCTGCATGAATTTCATGTAGAAAGCGGCACGAATTTCATGTAAATCAACTCCAAGCCTAAATGGGATTTCCCAATGGTCGCTTTTATCGTGGCTTGCCTGTACTCGCGATGGCTATGGCCTTTTGGATGCAATAGGGCGGAGAGTCCAAAAAACCTAAATGGATTTGGATATTTAAAAAAACAGAAAACTTATTTTTAAATATAAATTAAAATTCGAGTTTATTACGAAGATATCTTTTTTACAAATTAATAAGCTGTCATTAAAAATTTATATTCGTGAGATTAATTTAATTTTTTTATGCATTTTTCTGAACAATAAAGACTAGAAGGTAGATAACAAAACAAATTCTATCTAAGGCTGTGGCTACCAATAACCATTCTTCCCTGTAATCTTCCGATGGTAATTCTTCTTCGTTATCTTGAGTGTCTTCCATTTTGTGTACAAATCCGAATCGTTTTTTAGGTATGCATATCAACATAATCTTTCCAATCATCCCCGATAACCAATAGGTTAATATGGTAGGAGGCCGAAAAGTTCCAGCAATTCTTCCTAAGTTAACAATGATGATCTCCATCAACATCGCAGATGCAACAATAAACATGGTAGAATGGATGCTACGAGCTGTAATTAAGTCGAATTAATGATTTGAAACAGTTTACTTTTAAATAGAAATAGAATACCAACCTGTTAATACGGACGGGACAGAAGAAGAACGTGTTTCTCCAACGTACAATAGCATAACAGTTAGAACCATTAGCGAAGTGCATCCCAAAATGAATTTGTGCAACGAATTAGAAGGTAACCAAAACATGATTAGCGTGAAGAAAATTGCAATTAGAGAAGGACCCCAAATTATTAAACCGGGATCGGAATAATGTTTCCTCTTAAGTTTAAACGTCGTTACAATGCTCGGGTATGGTTCCAAGCAACAATCGTAATACTGAATCCTCCTGTGTACAGACGCATTTATTACAAACCATTCGGGATTTGAATTATGAAAGTTCTCCATACTTAATCCGCTGTCTAAAATCTCCAAATCTAGAGCTAATCCGTGATGGGTCCATGATCCAAAAGTAATGTTGCATTCTTGGATATCGTTAGGATAATCATTATAATCGATTTTACAAAATGAATATATGGTTGCAGGTGGAACCCATAGAACCATTCCAGAGTTAAAAGAAAGAGCATTCGTCTGGAAAGTAGGAGCTAATTCGGTCACTGGTATACTACAAAAGATAATCGTTATTTAAATACATTTATAAAAATTTATGTATTTTAAAGATTGTAGAATCATTAAATTATAAAAATAGTTTCTTAAATATTAAATTAAATTTTAAAAAAATTAAATGAAATTTGAATAATCTTACCTAGAATAGACAGATATGTCGGGATGCCAGATTTCGTCGATGGTAAAATGCATTACAGAAATGTTAGAATAATTTTTTGGATTCCAAGTGAGATGATC